TGAATGTGACTTATTAAGGGAATCGGCATGTTGAAGGGGTTGGATGCGAGATTGCTCAAGGTTGGAGGAATTGAAAGTCAAAGAAAAAAGATCCCAGACAGAGTACCAACAAAGTCCGGTCCGAATCCTTTATCGATGGGAAAGCTTGGCCTTAATAGAGTGGACAGGCTCTGATCCTCGCTTTGCTGTCATTGGGTCACGAACAGGAAAATTAATCTACAACTCTTGCCACATCTGAGCAGTCACCGAATTTCTAGATCTAAGGCACGTCTTTTGAGAGAAAAACAGGTTTACCATATTTTGTTGGACATTTTTGCCCCTTTACTATATTCCTCCACTCCACATTGCCCATGCCACCGGATGAGGAACCGTTGAAATTCGGTAAAATGACTCCGCTGGAGAGTTTTTGCGAGTTTAGTGACCTTTTCGGCCACAAAAAAAGTTTGGTGACCAGAAGGTGCCATTTTTAATAGTTTAGTGACCTTTTGGGCCATTCACTCATTAAACAATCTATTGTTCCAATAGCCTTTTAGACATTTTTGCCCATATTAGAATATTCTTTCAACCCAAGTGCTTTTGTCACCGGGTGAGAAACCGTTGAAATTCGGTAAAATGACTCCGCTGGAGAGTTTTTGCGAGTTTAGTGACTTTTTCAGCCACAAAAAAAGTTTGGTGATTAGAAGGTGCCATTTTTAATAGTTTAGTGACCTTTTGGGCCATTCACTCTTTAACTAAATAAATGTAGATACTAATATAATAAATTTAAATACTAATATAATAATAACTTTTGATGCAAATTTCAATTAATTTTTGAGGAAATCTTATATATATTGACGGTGTATCCACTATCACGGTTAGATATACAACACATATGCAAAATTTAAATTTCAAATTCAATTTTGGTTTATGTATCTAATAGTGAAAGTGTATACATTGTTAGTGTATAGAAAATTAATCCTTAATTTTTAGGTGTTCATATGCTTTTTTATGCATATATATATATATTATATTTTACCTATATATATATTTGACCTATAGTATGTGTGTGTGTGTGTGTGTTGAGTTTGGACCAAATCAAAATTAGACTCGAAGCTCAAAACTTTCTGTCAGCTAAGTATGAACATTGTAAATTGAGCCCAAAGTTTAAGTTCGAAAGTCCAAAAGCTATGCTTTATTTTGTGAGCTGAATTTGGACTTTTCAAAACCCGACCTAAACATCTCTATTAGCTCCCCTAGATAAGATAAATGGCAGCAACCCCAGATGGGCGTTACATATCTGGGCCTCACGGATGCGGCTCATGCAACCGCAGATGGGCTTTACATATCTGGGCCCCCACGATGCGGCTCATCAGGCAAGTGTAGTGTGGGTTTGATTTAGCTTGGTCCTACCCAAGTCTCATAATGTCCCATTTCCATGCATGGATCAAGTGAAGTGAAAGTGAAATGGTCAATTTTTAATTGCTACGATAATTTTGGAATCCTTTTTCTAGGAAACTCGGGTAGAGCCCCACTCGTTAATGAATGGAAGTTTTTAGAAACGTACTAGTGGTTACAGGTGTAAACCAACCGAGCAGCTCGCGAGTTACTCATGAACTGATCGATCAAACGATTTACTTGACTTGACATTGACCGAGTTCGAGTCAATCTTGAGTGGCTCGTTTAGCCAAATGAGTCTAGTATCGATCATTTTTAATTAAAGTCGATAGTTCGTTGAGTCTTATCGAGCAGTACATATTATATATATATATATATATATATATATAAATATATATAATAGTGTATGTTAAATTACATATATAGGTATTAAGTTCTTGTAAATTTTCAAAATACCTCCTTTTCTAATCGAGCTCAATACATCAAGTTTGAGTCCGAACTCAATTGGGCTTGAGTTTGCTCAAGCTTAAACGAGTCGAACTGAAGCAATCAGGATATTCTATTTATTTATTGGGTTTATCTAATGGGTGGCTATTGGACAATCGTTAAAATATATTTCAATGTCATATTTTTAGAAATATAAGATTAATTAGAGAAAATAAATAAATACAAAAGAGAGTATATAATATTAAACAGAAAAATATATAAATGTAAGAGATAATAATAATTGTTAGCATTTGTATATATATGATAAGTCAGGTAAATTTTAGGCGTGTTAATAAGTGTTAGTTGGACACTCATTAGAAAAATCCTTATTTATTTAGGTTTGGGAGTAAAATCAGAAACTTTACTGTCACTTATCTAATGTTTTGCCAATTTAACCAAAATGATTTGAGAAGAAGAGAGTGGGATCGATCTTGGCCAAAATAAACTTGCAAGTCGTTTTACCTAAAATTGACAGCACCAATTTTACAAATAGCGTTTTGAATACCCACTCAATCCAAAAACAGTAATAGTACTTACAAGACTAATAAAAACAAAGATTAGAAGTTGATTTGTTTAGCAGGAGAACCTGCCAAGTTGCAAGCGTAGGTGGGCTTGGTTGTTGGACGTCTTAAGCCCCTGATGCAAACCTCAAATTTAGTTAGCTAACACGTGAATGTAGTTGGTGCTTTGCTCTGCTGCATCTTCTGGTATATTTTTATTTAGAGCCATCTATCAATCGCAAGGTTACTGCAAGGGGTGTGTAATTTTCTTCTGTTAGTACCATACATCTGCAAGAATTTGCCAAATTAGTTGGCTGGCTGACTGCCTGAGTTTGAAGGATGGTCATGGTCAGACGCCCCTCGTGCCGTCACCAGCCAGTCAATTAACCTTAGCTACAATTTGGTCGTATCTAGGATGACTTCTAAGTACATTAGTGCTCAACTCCATCACGGAATAACCTACAAACTACGCCAACACATGGAAAATCAAGAAACTTGCAGATAAATTTAGCAGAGGCATAGCTTATATATAGCCCGTGTCAAGAATTTTGGGCAGTGTTAAAATTGGTTCGGCAGGCTATAGATATACTGTTAAATAGAAAAAGCGATATCAAAAGTAGCTAATCGCGTAAAGTAACATACAGGAAAAATGACCACTGCTGCGGTGACTTCAAGAGTTGAGAGGTTGGCCAGCAGTGGGATTCAATTAATACCAAAAGAGTATGTGAGGCTTCAAGAAGAGCTGACGAACATGGGTAATGTCTTTGAGGAAGAGAAAAACAACGAAGGGCCTCAGGTGCCAACCATTGATTTGGGGGACATTGAAGCAGAGGACGAAGCTGTTCGTGAGAGATGTCGCAACGAGTTGAAGAAGGCCGCCATGGAGTGGGGAGTAATGCACCTTGTCAACCATGGCATATCAAATGAGCTCATTAATCGAGTCAAGGTTGCTGGAGAGGCCTTCTTCAATTCACCCGTTGAGGAAAAGGAGAAGTATGCCAATGATCAGGCATCAGGCAATCTGCAAGGATACGGCAGCAAACTAGCAAACAGTGCCAGTGGTCAGCTTGAATGGGAGGACTACTTTTTCCATTGTGCTTTCCCCGAGGACAAGCGGGATTTGTCGATTTGGCCCAAGACTCCAGAAGACTATATGTAAGTACTTCTTAACATGCCTCAAAATTTACAAGGAAAGATTTAATCAATCTCAAGCTAAAACACAATTTAAATCCATGGACATTAATTTGGTGCTTTCAGATTTCCTGAACTTCGAAGACATTAGCATATATTCTCATGTAGATATCATCTGAAATAGAACTCTTATGCACAAAATGTCATCAGCTCATAGTATTTCTGGTTTCTGCTTTCAAGTTCAATTTTTATCCCTCTTGATCAGCTTTATTAAGTCTCCAAATTATGCCACTTCCAGCCCTGCAGCGAGTGAGTATGCAAAGCAATTGAGAGGCTTGGCAACCAAGATATTAGCTGTGCTGTCTGTTGGCTTGGGATTAGAAGAAGGCAGGCTAGAAAAGGAAGTTGGTGGTATCGAAGAGTTAATTCTGCAAATGAAGATTAACTACTACCCCAAATGCCCTCAACCGGAGCTAGCATTGGGTGTTGAAGCTCACACTGATGTCAGTTCTCTGACTTTCATCCTTCACAATATGGTGCCTGGCCTGCAATTGTTCTATGAGGACAAGTGGATTACTGCCAAATGTGTCCCCAATTCCATTATCATGCACATTGGGGACACCATTGAGATTCTAAGCAATGGAAAATACAAGAGCATTCTTCATAGAAGCCTTGTGAACAAAGACAAAGTAAGAATCTCTTGGGCAGTTTTCTGTGAACCACCAAAGGAGAAGATCATCCTCAAACCACTGCCTGAGACAGTTTCAGAGACTGAGCCCCCTCGCTACCTGCCTCGAACGTTTGCGCAGCATATTGACCATAAACTGTTCAGGAAAACCGGGGGAGCTGTTGAAAAAAATCAATCCACTGAGGACAATAAATCTCCTGAAGACAATCAACCTCGTGAAGATGGTAAACGTTCGTGAATGGAGATCCCTCCTACTTTTTCTGCTAATCCAAGTTGTACCAAGGTACTTAATAACCTTTTCTACTTGTTCTCGTTTGGGAGTCCGGTTTGCAACTGGTTCAAGCGCCATTTTGCTGTGTTTCATTATTCCTTGAAGTTGGTCCTTATGTCCTCTAAAGTTATTACGTGCTTTGCTTTGCATCGAATAAAATCATGTATTTATTGATCATCTGTTCCTGAATGTGTTTTAGGCTACTAATATTATGTTCAGGCATCAATGAAATTCAATCAACTGCAATCCAGTTGGATATTGAACAAAGAAAAGATCCAAGCAATCCATTTTCAGAAACACAACACAAAAATTTGTGTCTGAATTTGAAAAATTCTAAGACATATAAAGGTACCATTTGAACTATTCGATTCTTATTACAACTGGAATTTCAGTAAATTTCCTTCGTTTAACTGAAACTTCAATTTTGTTGGTCATTAAATGTTCACTATCTGGTACTCTCTGCTGACATCGAAGGGAGCCCATCTATGTCTGTGAACCATAAAAACAAGTGGGTACTTAAATGCATAATTTATGGAGGCCAGGCTGAACATGCAGCAAAATGTATATTCATCCAACTACGCCAATCAGTTGTTGAGGAAAGACTCGAAATGATAATAATTTTGAAATCATGCGGTCCATACAACCAGCAACCTAGAGCAAATCAATTTTGAAGTTCAATTGGATGGCAAGCACAAGAAACTATACTATTTATGTACTTGAATCAGAAGAACATCCTTCCATGGTAGCAGATCTTTGAGACTCTTAAACGAAGGCCTTTCTTGCTGTTGGAGAATTAAACAGCTGTGTAACAAGATGCACATGAGAAGGCTCACAAACTATTTGCGTTCGATTTAACTGCACACATTGAAAGTTCAATTTATTCAATCCTTATATACTCGAAAAAACAGAATTTCAAGAATGAGAATAGGTTCTGGCTTATAGGTTGTATAGCAATTCCTTCAATCTCTTCTGCAGCTTAGTTTGATCAAAGCTCCTCCCCTGATCCACCTGTCATACGAGTTCCTATATAAATTTACTATTTATGCTATCAGAATCTAAAGTAAATCAAACAGTTATAATAATATACATTCTACACGAAATAAATAACTGAGGACATTATCATAATATTTCTTACGGTACCTCGGATTCCATAACATGAAGTTGTCCTTCATTGGCGTTGGTGGAAACGCAACTTATAACTGATAAGCCTTCTCCATTAAGAACGCTGAGAAATTTTGATAGAGGCAGCCCTCCTCTTAAAGTAGTCTTCAAAATTATCTGCATCCCTGTAGTGCTACTTTGCACTCTTACACTAGTCTTGTTGAGACTAACTGTAAATTCTGTTAAAATACTGAAACTGCAGCCAGGTTTCGTGAGTTCTTGGAGTTCGTCTCTCTTACTTATCAGCTCATCTACCTTTCTTTTCATATGTCTTACATATTTAACTGTCCCATGCATGTGATCAGATATCGATCTCTTTCCCTAATCAAGAAATTTTGCGGCAATAAATTTATTATAGTTTTCAGCATATTTCAATGCAAAAAAGTTCCAGTGATGAGACACCGAGAGTCGAATATAGCCCAGTTAAGTGCCTGCGAATCGAAATTTTCTTTTCTTTTCTTGTTGTTATAAAGTCAACAGAAGAAAAATTAAAGTACCTGGAGATACTCATCAGGGACCAGTGATCGGAGAGATTGATAAAGAGCAGCCATTTCTTGTCTTCTTTGTCTTTCAACATCTCGGTGTATAATCCGCTTTTTGTGCTCTACTGGACTCTCATTGTCAAGAACATTATTGTCACCAAAAGCAACCGATGACTTCCTTTTCTTCGTGCAAGATTTTGGCTTACACGAGTTTGGATTAGGCGCCCGAGCCATTAGGGGTGTATCCTGTGGGATCTGCTGCTGGGGAGGAATAGAGAGGAAGTGGAATAGTTCATCGTGTTCCATTGAAAACATGATTGTTAGCTAAAACATCAAATCTTTCTAGGCCAAAGATGGAGAAAAAAGAGCAGAAGATGAATGTTACCGGTCCAAAGTTTTTGAGGATCTGGGAGAAAACGATTGGCGAGACTTGACTTGGGTTTCTTCCTCAAGTTTTTAAAGGGGACATTTTACCTTTCCTCCGTTATGTTTAGTGTAGTCTCAGTTTAATCCCTTATGTTTTGAAGGCAATTTACAAAAAATTTTGGTTTCATCCTACTTTTGTTGTTATAGTATGCATTTTGACGCGGAGCATTGAACCCTAGATTTTGGACCAAACTCCGTACCATCAATAAAGTTGCTCATAAAAAGCATTTTAGGGTTTTTAATTAGTAGTAAAATTAGGTTAGCCATCACATATTATTAGATAGTTTTCTAGTGCTATTATTTATTTAATTTGTAGTTGATTCTAATTTGATACTTATTAACTAGCGCTCTGTCACCAAGTACGTACCACATTGTCGGATTAATTATCTCAGGTTTGTAATCCAATGGGCTATCCAGCGCCAAATCTTTTAAGGGATACTAACGCCTATTCTTGAATTAAATGTACATCAATGCGTGATTTTACTGATTCTTGGAGTTTTTTTCGTTGTTTTCTTACCTTTCTTCCTGGCAACATATGTAGGCCTTAGTCAATTAGGGTAATTCATACAAATGATATATTATATTAGCATACTATTTTTGTTGATTTTGAATCATTTTTCTTTTTTCTTTTTTGAAGCATTTCAAAAGAAAATTATTTGCCCTTCTTTTGGATCACTTCCACCTCACATTTAAGAGATCTCTTATCATAATGGCAGTTGAGGATATATGGTTTATTGCATATTGAAGTTACGTACACAGATCATTGAAACATATGGTTAATTTAGGTGATTGTGAGTGAACTAATTAAAATGTTTATTTCATAAAAGTAGGAAATTAAATTAGACTTTTTTTTATATATATTCTGCCATTACAAAAACTCTAAAAATGGAAAGACATTTAGATTCCTTTATTGGAATTGCAACAATAAGAAGAGGAAATTTTTTGACACATGTCAGATGAATACGTGCAATCAAACTTGAGCAAAAAGATGTTCATTAATTTGTAACCGTTCCCAGAGAGATTTTGAAGCAACTACTTTTTGGTTACTGCATGATCACAGATGGGTGAATCAATTTCATTCACAGTTCAATATTAAAGTTTGATCCCTTTAGCATAATTTGATTCCGCCACAGCTTAAGATATATAATCATTGATGCACAGATGAAACGAGAGAATGCATGCAAATGGAAAGATATAGTAAGTAGAAATATTATGTCCCGAGAAAATTAATATTTGCTTATGATTAGGCAAAAAAGGACAGAAATAATAAAGAGTTTGGTGATTAAGAACTCTGAAAGTCGCATTAAAGCAGTTGAAAAGACACATTAATCATCATCTTTTAGATTTGTACTTGCTTTGAAGCAACCTCGATCTGTTAATTAAACACTGCTAATCAATTTTTTAATCTCACTAGCTATTACTACGTAAGTGGGTACGTATGTATCATTGATGGTTCTTCACTCAGGAAAATGGATAAAAGTATTTTATTTTTGACTTGTCAGAAATATAATTATTATATAGTCTGAAACAGATATGGTTTCAAAATCTGCATTATTGGAAGGTGCACGTGACAATAATGACTATTGTATTATCTCAGTTCATGTCCCATTTTGTGCTCCCAAAAAATATCAACGATTGTGTGTCGGTGCAGGGGAATATTACACTACTCATCCTTAGACTTTTGTTGTTTTCCGAATTTAGTGCATACGGCTGCAATTTTAATACATAAAACCTAGCTAGCTTGACCAAATTATTCCCATGCCAATTCATTGGAGTTCTATTTTTAAAGACAAAAAATGCAAAAATTTTACTGTGTTCTTTTCAATTAGCAATCAACTAATTAACCGTCAATAGTTCGATGAGTAAAATTTAAAACTATCAAAGATTCATGTATTTAGAAGAAAGCATAAAGGATAAATTTAAATTACAAGTGAAAGTTTAGGGACGAGAAGGTTAATATCTTCTATAGAACAACATTTCTAGTGAGCAATGACATCTTTTACTCTGAGTGTTAATCTAACTTTGTTATGTGCTTTGCAGTAATTTCGATTGTTGAAAAAAATGACATCTTTTACTCAGTGCTATTAAGCACACATTAGAAGAGAATCTAGTAAAAACTTGACCCCTAAAATTTTATAAGTAAAACTTTAGCAAAATCGAAAAGTAGGCACCATCGTAAAAGCTGATCACTTCAAAAAGAAGATACTAAAATCAGCATAATTCGAAAGAAAATTCAACTTGATCACTGAACAATTAAGTGAACGTGCATTTAATGGTGACTTGGTTTCAGCATTCATTTAAGGAGGACTTATGGAGCTGGTCAATTGGGTCCAGTATTCATTTGCTGCCAATTACGAAGAGTAGAGGACCCATGGAGCTAACGTGTGACAGAGAGATCTGAAATCTGAAGTAGCTGGCTGATACTGCACATTGCTTAAAAGTTTGAACTTATTGGCTAAATAAGTCATATTATACTGCATACTCCCTCCGTCCCAGTTTGATAGTCCTGTTTTTCTTTTTCGTCTGTCCCAAATTGTAGTCCACTTTCCAATTGAAAAATATAGTTGTATTTTAATTTTCCTAAAATACCCTTATTCAATGTAAGTTGTTGTTACTATAAACCTACCCCATTTAATGAGAGTTGATTCTATTTTTACCATCAATTCAAGTTCCCATAAAGTTGTACTCTAATTAATGTGAGGGTATTTTAGGAAAATAGCTACCTAAATTGACTGTTCCAACAAAATTAACTACTCCCTCCCTTTTTTTATAACTGACGTTTAAGGTTTTGCACACCAATTAAGAAAAGTTTTTCATTGTTTAAATCTATACACTACTTTCCTTTTGTACCCTCATTAATTGTCCAATTCACCCATGTTTTCTCTCACTAGAGTACTAAATGGTGCTGTTTTACCAGGCCAAAAGCAATGCAAACTAACTAGGAGTAGTAATTAAGAACCCTGTATTGGAAAAGAGAGATAAAAGGGTAAAATTGTGAAAAAATAATTAATGTTGCATGGGGATAGTAAAACGACAGATAAAAGTACTTAAGAACAAATTTCTTAAACGTCAGTTATAAAAAAAGGGAGGGAGTACTTTTTATTAAACTGTATGAAAAAAGAACCAGAACTATCAAAGTGGGACGGAGGGAGTATTAATTTACGTTGCACCTAAAGGGAAACCTACAAGTGTAGAGTCTTTCTAGGCCCTAGTTGGAGGTGTATATGTAAGTACATTTGACATATATCTGTGGAACAAGAAACAATTTGTGCTACATCCTAATATACCTCCCAATAATAGAGTAGAAGTAACCATCAAATGGAAGATAAATAGCAAGACCAAATTAGATGAGGATGGATTGGTAATGGCAACTTGGCGTTCTTGGACTGAGATGACACTGTACAATGATTTGCCACGAGATACTGGCATATGACATTATTAACAATTATAGTTCATCAAATAAACCAATGTTTCAAAATTCGAACCGGATTTGTGGTTTAATTGGTTCGATCAGTTGAATTTCGTTTTAAAAGTTAATCATTTTTAATTTATTTTAATATTAAAATTTCGAATATAGTTGAAATCTTTTTTTTTTAAATAAAAATTTACTGAATGAATTTCGGTTGAACCTACCGATTTTTATTGGTGTGACTGATTCTTGACTGAATTTGACCGATTTAATTTAACTTTCTGGTTAACTATTGAACTGGATCACAAACATGGTCGGTTCGTGATTCGATTTTCAGAACACTGAAATAAACAATGCGAGTTTTTCTTTTGGTTCCATAATTATGGCAAAATAAGCTCACCTTGTTATTTGGTAGAATATTGTCATTGATACTGGTGGAGGTGATATGTCATAATGTACCACCAACATTTGATATTTCTCCGACATTAGGGTTAAAATAGTTCAAGAAACAGCTACGTTAAACATATAGAGCCCACTATTATACCAAGATCAAGTCATTATGTGCTTCCAGGACCTACAACAGATTTTGGAAGTCGATTTTGGCTACCTGAATTACTTATTTGAGAATAATGCCGAGTTGCAACCATATTCCTATTTTTGGTGGATCTGCTTACCAATCATTATTATTTTGAAAACGGACTGCCGGGTGATATTAATTTACTAATGACAATCAGGGTTTGGTAACACGTTATTAATTGTGTAAGAGAATTGACGACCACACCGAAGCAATACTTTCAAGTGATCGACCATTGCAAACGAATAAGTAACAACACAGCAAGCTTTGTAAGACCACTGCAAACGGTTCCACTTGTTATACAGTTAATGCATTATTCTCAGCTTCATACAACAATAACACAGCACGCAGCAACCTATATAACGAATTAAAACTGCTAGTTTCACATAAATATTAAATTTAAAAGTTAGTGGCCTCACTAGATGAACCACTACCTAGTTTAATTCTTTTTCTTGTTTAGAACGAAATGTTTCGAGTGATTTTGTCTGCTGGATTAATGCAGTTTGGCATAGAGGTTGTGTTGCTCCAATCAACATTTTAGACATGATAAGATGTCTAAAATGTGACAGATGTGACGGAACCTTGCATGATTATTAGGTATTAAATTGCTTACCCAAAAAAATATATATAGAGATCTTTTAAAGAGATGTGTCCCAGTGTCAATGAACTGTCCAAATTTTATCATTTGATTAAATTAAAGAATGCACAGGGCTGAAATATGTACTTGCTAAAGTTGGAAGAAATTGCTGGCCGGATGCACCTCTGCCCATCCCATTTTGTGTGTGCATTTGAAGACGGTATCCTGAAGTTAATCAGCTCGTTAATTACTAGGTTATCCTTTGATTGAATATCCATCATCTTTGGATTCTAGGGTTTGTTATTGACTTGTTTGCCTAATTTATTTATTTTTTTCGTTTTTGGGGAAAGCTAGCTGCTCTTAAGTTCAGTTCCACGTTCCGTGGAGCATCCATGCAAAGGCCATTTCAGCAGCCGTAACGTTCCCTTTCGGTGGAGTAGTAATAGCGCAAGTTCAGTTCTTTCTGCAAATAAACGTTTATAGAGAAAAGGAACCATATATATCTGTTATTATTGTACTGATCCGGTTGATTTACTAAAAAGCCACACCAGGATC